GATGGTAGCATAGTCATAGTCATGCGCAGAAAACAACCACCCTGATGGCAGTGGGAAAAATTGTCATGCAATTATCAGGCCCGCATCCGACGCTGACGAGCAAACTGTGGCAATCAGTGAGTCGAAAGCGAAGTGTCAAGGCAATACCGCATCAATTAAAACCCAAACGGTGGCTACAGAAGTGAATAATTATCGCACGCACGCGGATGACCACTATAAACTATAAATACCGTGCAACCTGTGCATGTTTCAACCATATCTGCGCATGACTATGACTATACTACCATCACCTTTGATTAAGGATTCATGACGGAATCCGAAATGTCAGGAAAATAAAACTTTTGTTCCACTGATCGCATCCTCTCCTTTTGCACTGCTTCCTGGAACTCGCATATTCTCCACTATTAACTTGCAAAATTGATTGCCTAGATAAGGCTAGTATGCGCAAGTTTCCTATTGGTCACTAACTGACCATTCGTCAGAAAATCTGTATGCATCTAGATGTCAATCGCCGGCTGCTTAAAGTGGACGCGGTGAGACGGTAACTCCAACGGTATTTGCTAAAGAAAAAGCACCCTACTAGACGCACAAAGAGCACGTGCTTTAACCAACACTACAGTAGTCGCCGGTTATTAAGCCCACGGATAATAGGCCCAGCCGCTTATTTAGCCCAATTTGGTCTGGGCCCGAGGTGGGCTTAATAACCGGCGACTACTGTAATAGTCACTGTGCACCAGGAGGTACCAAGGAAGTACTCTCCGTGGGCAGCTACCTTTCTGTGTCGCGGACTTTTCAAAAGCCCTCAAGTGCGCTCACCGATTGGCTACGGGACTCACTCAACCCGCTTTGACTTGGGGCTCAGTCTCGAACTTTGTTGCCAGCAGCAGCAAAGCGGATAGAAGTATAGACAGGAAGGCCTATGCACCAGTGTGAATATCTTCTGACCTAAACCGGTGCGGCCGAGAACCTTTGGCTCAAAGAGTAGAACGCTGTACTCCTAATTAACAGGTCGGGGGTTCGAGTCTCGGGTGACACAACACCTAGGGTTGGTAATACCTGACTAATGACGAATAATAAGTCACCAGTGGGTCATTTCAGCCTCCCTGGCCTTTCTCTGTAATGTTCTTCGGTCCTCGAGGAATATTACTTATATCGATAGCATACACAAACCTAGGTATAGAGCATAACGTGGTTGTTGGAGAGAATTTTGATAGCAGGAGGGAGGAGCGTAAATGATAAGACCCACAACTACGAGGACTGATCTAATCATGCGTAAAAAGCCTATAAACAACAAGGGTACTAACAGGGAAGATTTGATAATGCACTAACTTGGGTGCGGGAGCTCACTGAATTCGCTCGGTTGACTTAAAAAGGCTCAAATTGATAACTTACTAGGGTATTCGGTCTATAATTGCGTGTAGAATACGACACCTTCAGAGCGTCGTCGAAATGTGCTTGTGTGGGCGAGCGTACGAAGGGCTTGCTGTTTCTAGTACCACGCAAGAACCTGCTGCCGTAAACTCAACTACAAAATCATGAATGAGTGTGGCTAACCGCAAACTCGGATAGACGGTATTCCTTAAGTGTGAGCTTGCAGTCGTTCTGAGCGTGGGAAACAATCGCTAAATAAGTCACATACTGAAGAAGAAGAAGAAGAAGAAGAAGAAGAAGA